AAGTTAGTACAGCCATTACCAAAGAGTATGAAGATCCTCAACAAAAGTATGTTACAGGCCGGCACCGTGGCTCAATAGGCTAATCCTCTGCCTTGCGGCGCCGGCACCCCAGGTTCTAGTCCCAGTCGGGGTGCCGGATTCTGTCCCGGTTGCCCCTCTTCCAGGCCAGCTCTCTGCTGTGGCCAGGGAGTGCAGTGGAGGATGGCCCATGTGCTTGGGCCCTGCACCCCATGGGAGACCAGGAGAAGTACCTGGTTCCTGCCTTCGGATCAGTGCGGTGTGCCGGCCACAGCGAGCCGGCCGTGCCAGCCATTGGAGGGTGAACCAATGGCAAAGGAAGACCTTTCTCTCTGTCTCTCTCTCTCACTGTCCACTCTGCCTGTCAAAAAAAAAAAAAAAAAAAAAAAAAAAAGAAAAAAGAAAAAAAGAAAAAGAAAGAAAAGTATGTTACAATAAAACCAACTATCCCACTTCGGGGAATATATTCACAGGAACTAAAGTCCGTATATGAAAGGGGTGCCTTCACTCACATGTTTATTACAGCACTATTTACAATACTGAAGATATGGAATAAACCAAAAGACCATCAATGAATAAAGAAAATACATGATGGAATATTATTCAGCCATAAAAATGAATGAAATCCTGAAATTGGTAACAAAATGGATGGAATTGTACAAAGTTAATTGAAAATGAATCTTAATGGAGAATAGTACTGGGAAGGGGAGGGGGAGGAGGAAGAAGGGTGGAAGTGTGGATGGGAGGGAGGGTATGGTGGGCAGAATAATTATATTCCTAAAGTTGTATATATGAAATTTGTATTCCTTAAAAATAAATTAATTTTTAAGAAATGGATAGAACTGGAAGTCATTACACTAGGTAAAACAAGCCAGACAGAGAAAAAATACCACGTTTTATCTCTTATGTATGGCATATGTGTGTATGCCATACTATTTTACATGCATGTTTAAATTCTGCCTTCACCAAGTTTTGTACCTTACATAGTAATATATACTTCTTTCCTCATTTCAAAATCTTTGCTGTGAGTGACACTGATATATCCACTCTAGCTTTTAAAAAGGGAAGCATGTATTTATACATAATAGTTTCATATGAAGTGAATAAGATATTATTTAAAATTTGTTGTCCGGAGTCCTGAAAAAATGTTTCCAATAGCTATAAACTACTCAAAAATTCTCAAAAAATTAATTTTAGAACTTTTTTCAAATCACAGATTAAATTTCAAAACTGAAATTCTGAAAATGGTTTTATAGCATGATAGAGAAACTGATACACATACATCTCAGAAAACTGCTATAATAGGATTCACACCATTCAAAGTGTCTGAAGGATACTTGCAAATCTTAAACTTGTGAACCTTACTAAAAGTTTGTGAAATTCACATATCCACATCCAGTAAGCCTTAAAATCTGAGTTTTAACACAGATAGCAGAAGTTTTTTATATACAGAAAAGTTATTGCAGTCACAGTAAATGTACATCTTGGTCAAAATGAAGCCTGTGCCACAGCTCAGGGAAAGCCATGTGGAGAAGGCAAACGTGAGGACCACAAACCACACAATCCCTAATCAGTTACTAAAAGCTAAGAGAAGAGGAAAAGTATATTTTAGTTCTAGAGTTAAACAGAGCAAACTTTGATTATGCCACTAATGTTTATTAAATATTTACCCTTGAGAAATTTAGTTTAATTTTCTAAGGCTCTGTCTTCTCATCTAAAATATATCACCTACCTCATAATGTTATTGTTGACATTAAAGCAGATAACTCAGATAAAATTCTAAACTCAATATTTAGGGTTCAGAATGAGCTCATATTTACTGTGTAAAGCACAAGGTTTCCTTTGCTCTCCCAACTTAGCCCTTGTTTGTAACAAAATGTGATCTAGGAGGAGAAATAGAACCCTCTGGAAATGGTTGTCCTCTTTCAATCTCACACAAGAGGAAGTGTGAGCCCCTGGAGCAAAGGCACACATAAGTGCTGGTGGTGGTTACCAAGGAGTGCACGTGGGAATGAGAAATCCTCTCACAATGCAAGTTTCAGGACACTCCAGATTCTTATTTAAAGAAGCAGCTTATGAAGAAATTCTGTATATTTATGAAGAATAATGAATAGCATGGTGGTGCACATTGGAGCAAAAGCAGGATTGGCAGGCAGCAGCCCTAGCTGGATCTAAATGAGCAGACATAGCAGTGAAACCGCAGAGTCCACTGGCTGCTGGCATCACCATTTCACTACTGCTGGCCTCAGAATTAGGGCATTGCTTCACGCTCAACTAGACCTGGTACCAGAAGCCTGATTTTGATGAGCTGGTGTTCTGCACAATCAACAACAGTAAGCAGTTAGTAAAAAAAAAAAAAAAAAAAAAAAAAAGAAATCCTCCTTGAGGTCAGGCACTTGGCCTACTGGTTAAGACACCTAAGTCCCTCATTCAAGTCCCTGCACTCCATGTTTGCTCCAGCTCCTGATTCCAGATTCCTACACTTGAGATCTTGGGAGATATCAAGGTGATCAAATTACTACGTTTCTGTCACCCACTTTGGAGATCTAGATTGAGGTTTGGTCCCTGACTTTGGATCCAGCACAGTCCCTGTTTTGGCAGGCATCTAGTCTCTCTTTCTCTCTCTCCCTCTCTCTCTTTCACTTTCTCTCCTTTTCAAATAAATAGAGATTTTAAAATACCCTCTTACATTAGTTACTAATTTTGTACATGCTTAGGAACAAATTTAAGAATTAAGCAATGTTTTATAAGGACTATATAAGAAAACAGAAATAAATAGGAAGAATTCCAGAGAAGTATTTCTGAATGGCAAAAGTCAACTTGAAATGATGTCAGTTGTTAAATTACTCTTATATCTAAAACATTATTTAAATTCCACCCATCCTTTTTGTTTGTTTCTCCTCTACTTTGGCAGGTACACTATCCCCCATGGGGCTCCAAGCCCGGTTCCCTCTAGGCTCTTCCTGCAACTATCACCAGTGTCTTGCGCTGCTGCAGTCTGGTCGCACCTCACTTTCCAACACTGGTGCATAAGCTCTAGGTTGCTGGAGTCCTGGGTTGTGGGCATCCATGCCCTCCATGTAGGTCCACCATGACCCTCTAGTTTCAGTAGAGTTTCTTTTGCCATTTTCTCCCTAACTCTTCCCTGAGACTATACTCTCTCCACTTTTTTTAAACTATCTTCTCCTGGGCTAGAGCAGTAAGCTCTGTCCCTACTCCACCATCTTAGAACTGCAATAATATCTATTATAAGATGGAAAAATGATGGACTATTAGAATAAAGGATATTGGGTCAATTTATTATCTATAAGGGCACTTCAGCTGGCTGAAAATATAATTAAAATGTAAAATCACTGTAACTCTAGCTTTCAAATAAATAAATATTTTAAAAAACATAAATTTATTTTGGTTAAAAAATTCTCAATCTGTGCATTATTTTCAAACTTTCATTTTCCAAGAACTTTTTGAATACCCTTCGCATATAAATCATGTCTTAATTTCATCTGGATGTTATTCTTATACTCAAAGAAAACTATTTTATTAATTATTGAAAGGTGTGGTTACTTCAAAAATTCATGGAGAACATAAGTGAAAGAAAAGTCTCTTTTGGTGCAATATATTTTGAAATACATGCATAAGAAGGGCCTTCAAAAATAGATCACATATTATGATCTCACCTTTTTCTTCCTCTCTCTGTTACTCTGCTTTTCAAATAAAAAATAAATAAATATTTTAAAAAGGCCAAAGTCATGCAGTTTATAATGACAGAGCTGAAATTACTCTACCTTTTCCCTACTAAGGGATGAAACAGCCATAAACAAAACTTACAGGAGTGAAAAAAAAAATGACTGGTCACTGGCAATAGCACCTGATAGAAAGACACAAGAGAGAAAATAGGATTTTAGTATCACATTCAGCACCAAAGCAAACCTGAACAAACTGAAATACAAACACCAATTGTAGGGGCAGTAAAGCCAATGCAAATGACATTCCCATATGTTGCATCAACAAGAGAAGAGCTTATGTACCAGGAAAACAAACACCAGGAAATGTGCTTCACTTCCTGGATTATGTTTTATCATACATATTTTTCTTATTAGCCACTTTTTGTTAAAGGGCTATCAGCACACATTAAGTGATTTTTTTATAAGACAAACAAAAGGCAGGTGCAAAGGTAATGGCAGTTGACAAGGCCCTCAGCTTCTGAAAGACAAGTGGGTGAGCTGGAGCTAATGGTAAGAATTCTGTCCCTTCTTAAGGTTGCCTTAGTGTGACCAGTGCCTCAGATGTTTCAAAAGAAGGAGAGGAGAACTGCCTAAGAGGAGAAGGGAAGGAAATTCTAATTTTGAGGCATATACAGCCAGTTTTGCTATTTGACATAGATGTATTTATTTAATCCTCTAATAAAATTAACTGCATATTGTGTCTACAGTTCTGCATTTTTTACTTTTATGGCACTAAATAAAATCAGAAAATATAAGAGAATTTTATCAAAATAACTAAATAGTTTAATATGATCAAACTTACCAGTTGCAAGATTAATTTATTCATTCTAAAGACTCATCATAAGAGACCAGATGTATAATTATACATTTTGTGATGTGATGTGCTTTGTTATTTCATTCTTTTTATTTCATTTGAAAGACAGACAGAAAAAGAGAGGATTTGGGACATGGAGAAAAAGAAAGAGAACTGTCATCTGATTCAAACACAAGTTCTGGCAAGGCTGGGGCTAGGTGTAAGGACAAATTTTTAGGATAAAGAGGTTTGTATCTAGGTTCGGCTCTGGTAAACAAGTAACTCGTCTGCCAGATGACTTTCTCCTGCTCCTTGGGAGCCTGGCCAGTTCCCAGGGAGGAGGATAAAGGAATGTTTCTGATAAACAGGTGGGCATGCTTCCTGTCTAGGCTCTCTGGCCAAGATCTGAGACAGGACACAATGCTTGCCTAAAATCTTGGCAATGAGCCCCCTTTGTCCTTGGGGGCTTTAAGAGGGAGCCACAGCAAGCCTCTGCTGCTGCTGTTCCATCCCGGGGGGAACACGCAGTCATGGTGGACATTGAATGTGCCCGTGATGACTACTGATGATGCTTAGTTCTCAGTAGGGATCCTTTTCTAGTGCTGTTTGTTGCCTGTGATGATTACTGATGATGTTTGGTTCTCAGTATGGATACTTTTCCGGTGCTGTGTGAAGATTGCCTAGTGGTAAATTCCCGGGTTGAGTCCCTACTCTTGGGGAGGAAAATTGTATCAAGCTCCTGTACCTGCTGCCAGAGCCAACTAAGGTTATTCAGTGTAAACAATACAGAATTTCAGGTGGACATGTAAAAAATTATGTTAATGCCGGAGTGATGATCCCCATAATCACTAAAAGGAATAATCCAATTTGGCATGTTAAGAAATCAGATAAAACATGGAGAATGACTGTGGATTACAGGGAGTTGAACAAAGTTACTCCCCCATTGACTACTGCAGTCCCAGATACCATCACTTTAATAAAAAAAAATTCAAAAACATTCTGGTACTTGGTATGCAGTTATTGATGTGGCTAATACTTTTTTCACAATACCTATATGTGAGGAGAGGTGGGAACAATTTGCTTTTACCTGGCAAGGGAGACAATATACCTTTACAAGATTGCCTTAAGGATACAAACATAGTCCCACAATATGCCATAGAATACTTGCTATTTAGATGAACTTAAGTCTCCCCCGACATTTTGATTACTCACTATATAGATATTTTAATACAAGCAACCACCCAAGAAAAAGTACAACAATTAGAAGTGATCTTTCTTTTTTTTTTAAGGTCTAAAGGATGGGAAGTAAATTTACAAAAAACACAGAGGCCCTCTCAAACCATCCAGTTTACCATAGGCCCGTGTATTCTTAATAAGCTTGTAAATCAAAAAGTCAACAAACGGTAAAAGGTCACAAATATAAAAGCAGATTCTTGATAAGAAAAGTTAAAAGGAAAAGAGGTTTTTAAATAAAGGAAGGACATAGTTTGTAAAAATTGTTTATCTTAATGGTTAGTTTACTCTTTACTGGAATGAAAAAAAAAGAAAGGTTTGAGTAAGTTACAGAACGTGTGAGAAAGTCACAAAACATTATGGAAAGAAAAAAATTTTGGTTACAAAACTATTGGTCTATTTTCTTTAACATAAAATCAAAATCTGACCCTCTGTTAAAGCAATGAGTTAAAGTAATCTATTATGTTCTCTTGATGTCTCCGTTAAATTCTAATTGTTTAAAAACAGCTGAGTTTTTATTAAGAGCATACATGGTTCACAGATGGGTCAATAAAATATATAGGGCACCAAAAATATTAAAAAGCTGTGGCATATAATGCAAACACCACGATGGTATTAGAGTCCCAAGGAAAAAAAACCTTAGCAGTCAGTTTGCTGAATTACAAGCAATATACCAGGCTCTAAAACATGAGAAAGGAAGGGAGTGTCACCTTTTTACTGATTCGTGGGCCATAGCTAATTGTCTAACTACCTGGATCACTAAATGAAAAAAGGATAATTGACAAATTCATGGCAGACCCCTATAGGGGGATAAACTATAAAAAATATGGAAATCGATTCAATGTACTAACGTTACTGTCTTCCATGTAGATGCCCACAGGACGGTGAATTCTACGGAACATAAGCACAACGTGGACGTGGATCGATTGGCTACTGCGGCAATGGTGTTCTGTGACAGTCCCTCTGATGAGGGATTAGCAAAATGGATTCATTTAAAAACAGGATATTCAGGGCCGGCGCCGCGGCTCACTAGGCTAATCCTCTGCCTAGCGGCGCCGGCACACCGGGTTCTAGTCCCGGTTGGGGCGCCGGATTCTGTCCCGGTTGCCCCTCTTCCAGGCCAGCTCTCTGCTGTGGCCAGGGAGTGCAGTGGAGGATGGCCCAGGTGCTTGGGCCCTGCACCCCATGGGAGACCAGGAAAAGCACCTGGCTCCTGGCTCCTGCCATCGGATCAGCGCGGTGCGCCGGCCGCAGCGCACCGGCCGCGGCGGCCATTGGAGGGTGAACCAATGGCAAAGGAAGACCTTTCTCTCTGTCTCTCTCTCACTGTCCACTCTGCCTGTCAAAAAAACAAAAAAAAAAAAAAACAAAAAAAAACAGGATATTCAGGACCTGCCGCTATGCACAGGTAGGCACAGGACCAAGACATACATGTACCCTTATCAGCATTAAAATAAATCCAAGATCAATGAAAAACCTGTCAATTAGATAAAGAGAGGGGCCTGCCCCAAATAGTTACTGGAGAATTACATAGAGGACAAGCCCCTACACAAATTTCTCAGATTGATTACATGGCCCTCTTCCATTTTCACACGGATGTCAATAAATATGTACATGTATGGATACTTACTCCAGTGTACTGATTGCCTGTGTATACCAGAAGGCCACCCAGAAAAATACTATTAGGACTTTAAATATTGTAACCTTATATTATAGGGTGCCTTTGCAAATTCAAAGTAATAAGAAAACCCGTTTTAAAGGATATCACATACCATATTATCCCCAGGCAGCTGGCCTTATTTAAAAAATAAATAGATTATTAAAAGAAAAATTAAAAAGCTAGGGGATAATTCATATAAGAATTGAAAGGACAACTTATTTACAGCCCTAAAACAACAGTTAAATAACAGAATATTGGGGACGGGGAGTACTCCTTTAAGGAGAATGATGACTCCTAATTTACAAATTGGGAAATTTTATACCTTCCAGGATGTAAAATGGTAAAAAACTCACAAGGATACACAAATGTCCTATGCTGCCACCGTTAACTCAGCTGGACATGATTTATACAACCTTAAGAAAGTATGGATAGCTCCAGGAGATATTGTAAAGGTATAAACAGAAATAGGCATATAGATTCTCCTAGGATATTATGGTCAAATTACACCCCATTCCAGTTTGGCACTAAAAAAATTTCAGATAATGGCCAGGATAATTTACACAAATTACAGAGGAGAAATTCATGTTGCACTTTATAATCTTGGAAGAGAAAACTTACACTTTCCCGCCAAGACCAAAATCGCTCAAATGTTGCTAATTCCATGTGCCAGCACCAAGAAATGGGTCTTATTAAAAAAAAAAAAAAAAAAAGAAAAGAAAAACCCTCCATCAATAGTTACCCGTGCTGGTGGGTTCAGGTTTATTGAGATAATAGCTGAATCTGAGGTTTGGGTAAAAAAACACCACAAGGACATTCCCAGACCGGGTAAAGCAATTGCACAGGGAGTAAATAACACTGTAATAGTAATGTTTCTTGGGCAAGAAAAACCTGAAGTTATCCCTACTAATCATTTATTCCTTTGAAATTAGATCCTCTCTTTGTTTCTACTCTATTGTTGGACCACTTGTGCTTGGACTCCTGGAACTCCCCTGCAGTTCTTTGGCACCATTACCAGCAGATGGGGATGGAAGACTCACTCAAGATCTCGCCTCAAGATACCTTCTCCTGTCCTACTAATTAGCCATGTTACAGATGAATTTGACAGTAATTGGATAAAATGTAACTACTCACACAGGGAGTAAAAAATATAAATAAGTGTACACTGAACACCTCCCACCCTGCATTTGAATATTTCATCTGAAGTAAATGTTACCTGTTGTAAAGTTAATATTACTATGTAAAATGAAAAATTGTGGTGACAAAGTGTCCAGACTACGGTAAAACAATGTAATTCTTCCATCACTGAATTCAATATTACCCATTCTGTTTTTGTATTATGTACTAACTCTACCCCTATTACTGATAGGAATGCTTGGACAGCTAATGCTTGGTTTGCTTTACAAAAAAATTATAAATCAAAATACTCCACAAATAGTTAGGATTCCACAAACCTGCAAAAATGTAACAATTACAGATAATAGGAGGCTACTACTATTATGGCTAAATGGTTACCCTCAGTGTTCCATCCACAGGAAAATTTGTTGTTTTATCAAAGGAAATGTTGCAAATATTTAATGAAACCCAAATCACTAATTTTAGAGTAATACAAAATGTTAGCACATTTGTTAATTGGACTGTGTGCACCTTACTATATATTCTAACTCAAAGGAAAAAAGCTCAATGACAAATAAGCCTCTGCTGCTGCTCTTCCATCCTGGGGGAACACACAGTCATGCTGAATGATGAACGTGCCCGTGGTGATTACTGATGATGTTTGGTTCTCAGTATGGATACTTTTCCGGTGCTGTGTGAAGATTGCCTAGTGGTAAATTCCCGGGTTGAGTCCCTACTCTTGGGGACTCCCCCCCACCCCCGTTCTTTCTCCTTCTCTCTCTCTCTGCCCTGCTTCTTAAAATTTGCTACTTAAATAAACTACTTGTTTCTTTATACTACAAGGCTTGCAGAGTATTTCTTGTGGATCGAACTTAAAGTAACTAAGTCTTTGCACAGCAGACAGCTAAGAAATAATTTGCTGTCACACTAGGTCAGGCCAAAGCTAGGAGGCCAGGAGTCACTCTGGTTCTCTGACATGGGCAGCAGGGTTCTAAGATGTGTGCCCTCATCTGCCACTCGCAGTATCTCCATTAGCTGGATGGTGGATCAGTTGTGGAGAAAATAGGACTAAACACAACAGTCTAATAGGGAACATGGACAACCCAAGTTTGCAACACAACATCTTAATTGTTGTGTCAAATGCCTGCCCCATGCAGGATGCTAGTTTAATAAAAGATATAATCACAAATGTGCGTGGTTAGTTCACTCCTCTCAGAAGTTCAGGATAGATCATGAAAATGTGAAAGTGGGGTATAAGAGCCAACAGAACTCTTACTGCTTCCATCAGCAGATATGATTGGCACATTTATGAGATGAAAGCATTTAACAATAAAGGACATCAATTTTGTAGCATACACTGTGCCAATTATTTCAAAAAATAAAATAAATCTTTTTTTAAAAAATCTACAAGATAAGGCTTAAGTGCTGAAACTTAACTGAAAAGTGATCACTGTTAAATATAAGAGTGGGAATAAGAGAGGGAAGAGATGTGCAATTCGGGACATGCTCAAGCTGACTTACCTCAAACGGTAGAGTTAGAAACATACCAGGGGATTCCAATTCAATCCCATCAAAGTGGCATGTACCAATGCCATCTCACTAGTTCCAGTGATCAATTTCTGTTCACAATTGATCGTAATGATAGGACTAAGAACCAAAGGGATCACATAAACAAGAATAGTGTCTGCAAATACTAGCTGATAGAATAAAAAAGAGAGAACGATCCAACATGGGAAGCAGAACCATAGGATGGCAGATGTCCTAAACAGCACTCTGGCCTCAGAATCAGCCCTTAAGTCATGCAGATCCAGCTGAAAAGCCCATGAGAGTATTTCAGGCATGGAAAGCCAAGACACTCGGGGGGGGGGGGGGAACCTAAATGAAAGATCTCCGCGAGTGAGATCCCAGTGGAAAGAACAGGTCTTCAAAGAAGGAGGTACCTTTCTCTGAAGGGAGGAGAGAACTTCCACTTTGATCATGGCCTTGTCTAAATATGATCAGAGTCGGTGAACTCAGGGGGCTTCCATAGCCTTGGCAGCTCATGACAAGAGCCTAGGGTGATTACTGATGCCAGAAACAAGAGTGTCAATTTGTTAAGTTAACCACAGGAGTCACTGTGCACTTACTCCTCATGTAGGATCTCTGTCCTTAGTGTGCTGTATATTGTGATTTAATGCTATAACTAGTACTCAAACAGTATTTTTCGCTTTATGTTTCTGTGTGGGAGCAAACTATTGAAATCTTTACTTAATGTATGCTAAACTGATCTTCTGTATATAAAGAGAATCGAAAATGAATCTTGATATGAATGGAAAGGGGGAAGGGAGTAGGAAAGGGGAGGGTTGCAGGTGGGAGGGACGTTATGGGGGGGAAGCCATTGTAATCCATAAGCTGTACTTTGGAAATTTATATTCATTAAATAAAAGTTAAAAAAATCATCAAGATAAGGTTTTAGATATTTTCACTATAACAACATGTAAATGTTTAAAGAGAGAGATATATTTAACCTGATTAGACATTGCATAACAAAACATGTATTGAAGCATCACATGGTACTCAATAAATATGTTAATATGTCTGTGAAATTGGTTTTAGAAAAAATAAAATTTGAGGCCGGCACTGCAGCACAGTGGATTAATCCTCCACCTGTAGCACCAGCATTCCACATGGGCACCAGTTCTAGTCCCAGCTGCCCCTCTTCAGATCCAGTTCTCTGGCCTGAGAAAGCAGTAGAAGATGGCCCAAGCCCTGGGGCCCTGCACCTACATGGGAGATCCAGAATAACTCCTGGCTCCTGGCTTCGGATCAGTGAAGCTCAGGCCATTGAACCAACTGGGGAATGAACCAGTGTATGAAAGACCTCTCTCTCGCTCGCTCTCGCTCTTTCTCTCTGCATCTCCTTCTCTCCCTGTGTAACTCTGAGTTTCAAATAAATAAATAAATATTTTTATAAAATGAAATAAATAAATGTAGAGTTGAAGTATTCCTGAATTTTTCTTCTATAACATTTTTATTTATTTGAGAGGCAGATACAACTCCCTAAACGTCCACAAGAGGGGGCCAAAGCTAGGAGACAAATGTCAATCCCCTCATAGAAGGCAGTAAATGATTTATTTCAGGCATCAAATCATTTGCTGTCAAATGTGACACAGGTGTCTCAACATGTTTTAACCCCAAGTAAAGCAACCACTACCTTCTCAGTAACTCTTATACCACATGGAAATATTTTGATCCAAACTGTTTAAGATGGTTAAGGAAAACAAAGGAACACACCTTGTAAAATGTTCCCTATACCTAGGCCTTTGATCATCCAATTCTTTTTAGGGAAAAAATGGCTTCCATGTTCCACAATATTAGAAAGATTTTAAAAGTTGCTAGTGAAGCAGGCAGCTGGGTGAGGAGTTGAGCTGGTGGTTAGAATACATGTTATTTTTCAGGCCTGACCACATAGTATTATGTAGGCTTTACCTGGAAGGCCTCACAGAAAACTGCCCTTCCCACCTCACACGTGGTTCACAATCCAAGCGCTGTCACGTTTAAGGTCTCTAAATATTAGTGCTGCTGTCATGTACCTTGATTTTTCTGGCTGCCCATGCACTTCATATATTTACATTGCTATCTCAGGTGGTTCACTGCTGGGTTTCTTTATCTGAGGAATTTTGCAAAGACTTTCAGGAATCTTCTTATCCCACCCTGATTATGTACTCACTACTTTTCCATCCAACCCACCAACTCCACACCCCAACCCTCTCCCCTTCCACACATACACACTTCCTGGGGCCACTAGGTCCATAAAACAAAACAGCCTTTGTTGGCAAACTCCCTGGTCAACAAAAGGAACCCATGACCCCCACATCTATGATACCCATATTTGTGCGGATGCACCTGAACGTCCTCTGGAGGACCATTTGGGAAAAGGAACAGGAAAAGTCACTGCTTTCTCTTATTGCACTATCAGTAAATTATTAAAGGCTTAACTCATTTTTGGCTTTCCTTTAATGGCCTGATATCCGGCAGCTCATCTATCCAGCTCAGCTGAGCTGCTGACAACAAATTATTAGGAAATAAATGGGAGAAAAAGGAAAATTGAGAGCCTCATGCTGTGGTGTGTCTGGTTAAGGCACTGCCTGCAGCACTGCCATTCCATGCGGTGGCCAGTTTGAGTTGCACCTAACCCACTTCCAATCCAGCTCCCTGCTAGTGTGCCTGGTAAAGCAGTAGAGGAGGGTCCAAGTCCTTGAGCCCCTGTGTGGGGAGCAACTCGGACTAGACTAAGTTACTGGAATTATGACTTATTCTATGCATCTGCTTTCCCACAATATGGCACTGAGAAGGGAAACAGCTTCTACACAGCTGCCTCCAGTTCAACCAATAAACTGTAGGACTTGCTCCTGATTGGAGGAGAGCAGCGTACTCGGCGTGTGGGTAGCAGAGTTGGGATTGGCGGAGGAGGACTATAAAGGAGGAGAGAGACGGCATGCACCAGGAACATCTAAGGGGAACACCTGTGCAGTCCCCGAGAGAGCCGGCCGGCGGTGTGCCGCTCCCCTGCAGAAGTGGGGAATGTGGCAGGGGGAACCGCCCTTCCACGGAGGTGGAAGGGACGGTAGCCAACCCGGGAAGGACCAGCAGCCAACCCGGGAAGGACCAGTAGCCAACCCGGGAAGAACCAGCAGCAAACCCGGGGAGGGCCGAGCAGACGAAAGAACAGCGCAGGGTCCTGTGTCGTTCCTCCACGAAGACGGGGAGCGACACCCCTGCACCCACATGTGAGACTTGGAAGAGGCTTTTCCAGATGGAGGATCTCTCTCTCTCTCTCTCTCTCTCTAGCTCTGCCTTTCAAAATAAATAAATAAAATTGTTGTATAAAATGAAAAATCGAAAGGTTTGTTCTAGATAAGGAATAAAATGATTTTTATTGTCCTGTTGATTCTAAGTCCATTGAAACTGATAGCTTAAATAAAACATATTTTAACTATGTTTTATCAAGATGATAAATTATTATCTGAGATTAAACTAATTCAAGCGCTGCTCTGAATTACCTTTATTAATTTATTAAGTAAACTAATAAATCAGTAACAAATAATCATAGATTAAAAGCCAAATTTTATACCATTAACTGAATAATTAAGATGCAAAGGGAGAAGTCAAACTGTTATAATGTTCTGAATGGGATGCTGTACTGTATAATACAGATACTATTTTAATAGATCTTATGCCATACAACCTTAACATAATTTATAATAATACAGATTAACTTTTGAGTGAAAATTTTAATTTCCAAAGCTTAAATAATCAAGATAACTACTCTGAAAGTCATCAGATACTTACTTGCCATTGCAAAAAGCATATACTCCTGCCCAAAAGTTGAATAGAAGGACTTAAGTCACACATTGCAGACTCGGATTTGAGGATAACTGTGTTGATCACAGGGTTATATTCTAAAATGTAGGAGCTCACAGAGAAATTCAAATGCTTAACTCCTAAATAGACAAGAATTCACTGTGTATAAAGCAGGTATTGCTGGGGCCAGTGCTGTGGCACAGTAGGTTAATCGTCCACCTGCGGTGCTGGCATCCCATATGGGCGCTGGGTCTAGTCCTGACTGATCCTCTTTCAATCCAACTCTCTACTGTGGCTTGGGAAAGCAGTAGAAGATGACCCAAGTGCTTGGATCCCTGCACCCACGTAGAAGACTGGGAAGAAGTTCCTGGCACCTTGCTTGGGATCCGCACAGTTCTGACCATAGCTGCTATTTGGGGAGTAAACCAATGGAAGGAAGACCTTTCTCTCTGATGATCCTCTCACTGTCTGTAACTCTAACTCTCAAATAAATAAATGAAAAATCTTTAAAAAAAATAAGGTATTGTTAATCTTACAGACACAAACACATG